CCTAACTAATTATGTTTTCCTCATTGTAAAGTGAAATATGGAGAATATTTTCTCTATTGAATGAATGATCAAACAGGACAATACAAGTTATATAAAGATACACGAGTAGCTATTCTAAGTAACTAACTAATCTAGGCTAGAAATCTGGTATGACCCACAGAACGTGGTGTGCACTACAAGTAAATACATAATTACAGAAGTTAAGGGATTTCTTTCCTAACACTCATGAAGCGTTTGGTGAGTTCATCAAAGGATGTGGAGCTGCTTGTTGTTGAGCATGGAATTGTTCAAAATTGCATAGGTGAGAACAGTGGGGTATCTTCTTTGCTCAATAACCTTGACAGTGGGGTCATTGTTAGCAACAACTATTATGCTACTCTATGTGATGAGCTGAACAACTACTGCAGAACTCGCAGGCACAAATGGATGGCAAATTTGAGGCAAAATTATTTTAACACACCGTGGTCAACTGTTTCTGTCATCGCAGCTAGTGTTCTCCTCGTACTCACTGAACAGTATGCTCTGTCATATCTATTATTTAAGCTTCAACACCACTAGTCTCTCCTTTGTATTCTCCCTACCCTTGAAAGTAGTCTAGTCTAGCTAGCAGGTTCTGGCTTCCTTAAAGTGGGTCGAAGAGATATTCGAATAAAAGAAAGTTTGTGTATTGTATGTCATTGTCACTCTGGCAAGTTGGTGGTAAGATCAGGTTTTGCTCAATCTTTTCATCGAGTTCTTTAACTTATTTGGAAAATGATTTGGAACTTAATTGCATGGGAATGTCTTTATGGTGCACCATTTACATGCTTACACCATACCTACTTCTATACATGTCTGGCCATTGTTACCTGGAAAAGAACAACCTCCAAATAACCTTTCAAGTTGGCACTCCAAAACTAAAACTACATCCACCATTTTCTATTTTTCTTCTTCCATAAGGCATCATCAGTAAAAGGGCCCTGACTCCACTACGGCAAAACATCAAACACATGGCGTGCACTTTTATTGCTTTCACATATGACCCGAACATTCAACCATTTTAGACGGCTTGATCGGCAATAACAAACGTAATAAGTAATAATCATGAAGCTAGATCACAAGCTTGCCTACAAATTTGTTGGGTACGGAAAATATGAAAGAAACCACGCCTGAAGAAGGAGAGACGACCGTCAAATGCCGCGAAAAAAGCCATGAAGTGTTTGAAATTTGGACTCAAACTGAACTTTGTGCACGGACTTGGGCGGGATCTTATGTTGGATCCATTATTGAGAAATGGGCTGTATTGGGCTTGAATTGCAGGCAATGACAGACCAACCCAGTACCAAATTATAATTTGCGAGTCAACATATCTCTTAATCGTTTGATCAAACTAACCAATTTAATCCAACAGTTAAAGAGATAGGGTCTCATCTAAGGGCTTAAGGCCCTCACTATTGAATTCTTGTATAATTTGTTCTCTTTTGTTTTTCTCTTTTTATTGGGAAAACGGGTTGCTTTTCAATTGGACAGAAAGAGAAGGCAACAAACTTTAACAAAATTGAACATGCTTGGCTTATAAAAAGTAGGAAAAAAAAAAAAAAAAACCTTTAAAAAGCCAATTTTGCATCCATTGAACTGGATAAAAAAGTGCCCTTGTTTTTCCTACCATTGACCATCACAGTGTTGTTAAGTTCAAACATGTTGTACTTAATCCGGTTAATTGTCTCGTGTTGATTGTTTTTGGGACCCAATCGGCATTTAAATCATGTCAAAAGATGTTCATGTTCTTCTTTCACGAGCATGATGAGTCTTTCAATTGTCTTGTCCTTTGTTAAGATTGACAAGCAATCAGAAATTATCCTCCGTTTGGATGATGAAAAATAATTTGAAATTTAGCTAAAAGTCGGGAATTTAAAAGGAGAAATATACAATTTCCTTGTTTGGTAACTTAAGCGCGAAAATTTATTAAATGATACGCATAAAAAATAGTGGAAATTGCGACATCAAATTCTTGAGTTTAATTTCCACCAAAATAAACGTCATTTTACAATTTTCGTAGTGCTATTTACAAAATTCTGTCATTTACAAAATTCGACATATATAAATCCAAATACTGAAATTTTCAATTGCTAGAAATTGAAATTATGAAAATCTAAATTATGTCATTTTAGAATTCTATGTAATCTTCAATTCCTTCATCAAAATGGAGGGTTAGAATTCTCAAATTATAAGTTTGCCAAATTTAACATCTCTTCCAATTTCATTTATTTCCTACAAGTAAGATTTTGTCCTGCATATCACGGATGAAATTATTTAATCAATATAGAAGAAAAAAAGTGCAAACTAACAAGTATTCTTTTTGTTCATTTTCACATGCAATAAGATTCAGATAAAGAAGAAGTAAAAAAAAATCTCAATAAGCAAGTTTTGACATGATTGAATGTAAGGTACTTCATGGCACTAGTTCACTAAAATCAACAAAGCATATATAAAAATGAAGTAACATAAAGCCAAGCTTAAAGTGAAACAAAGAATCTTGCTAAAAGCTAAATAATGGAGTGTAGTAGCAGACAATAATGAATGTGTTGTTGTTGCTTTTTGACCAATAAAATGTGCATTTTGCAGTACTTAAAAACCCAACCCCCATGAGGTCAATGAGGGAACCCACGAAAGGTGTTTGCTGAAAAGTTTGGGAATCCTATGTGAGTTTATGCTTTTAAGTTAAAATATGTTCAATTAGAGAACTTTGTTTTGGAAGCTCATCATCAGATTTCTCAAGGTTAACCCTGTCCGTTAATCAAAGAATCAAATGTTAATTAGAAATATGGTTTTGTTAACGTACGGCTTTAACTTCAATCGTAAATGTGAGAATAAGTTCTCTATTACTGAAATTATAAATTTTGTAAATATAAAGATGAGTGCTCTAACACTGAAACTATAAGCCCCATACTTCAAAGCTAGTAAAAACCTTACCAATTCCATACCAATCTTTCACCCTTTTTTTTTCTTTTTTCTTTTTCCTTTTTTCTTTTTTTTTTTCTTATTTTGTTCCAATCATTACTTTTCTTGGTTATTGCTGCATTTTCGCTAAACGAATACTCTATCTCAAGAGATTAATTAAGCATGAGAAAGGGCATATATGTCCAGCACATATAATAAAAGTTTTAAATAATTCGGTGTAAATCCAATTCTTATGATAGAATTTGGGTGCAATCCACACACGTATTGTTAGTAATCCAAGTCTTCTGACTTCATTGCCACATATGATTATATTCCTTTTCTAATTTTATGATGTAATCAAATATATTTTTTTCTTTTTAAATTTATTTTCATGTTCCAATTATGCCCTTATGATTTAAATTGGGAAAGACTTATTTATATCATAATAATTAGCTAATTAATACAACTAATTAATTTTAGAATATGATATAAGCGGGTAAGAAATTAGCTGATTGCAATTCATAAACGGGTAAGAAATTAATTTTAGGCCAATGATTACTTATATTTGACCTTTTTAGTTAATTATGATTTGAATTTATAAAATACAGCCCCGATCTCTTGGACCACAGGGGTCCAAGAGATTTGTGGTCACCTACCGTTGGATGTTAATCTAACGGTTCAAAAAAGTTTCTTAAAAATAGTGCAAGAGTGAGTGAACCGTTGAATTTACATCCAACGGTGAGTGACCACAAATATCTTGGACCCCTATAGTCCAAGAGATCAGGACTATTATAAAATATTTTCTTGTCTATCCATTTTAATTTTGAATATATCCCATAAACATGCGCTGATACAAAACATAATAATAATAAATTTCCTATAACCTTTCTTCTTCATCTTGTTCATCTTCTTCTTTCTTCTTCCAATCCTATGGAGGAGGTATAATTATTTATGGACTAGGAATATACATGAATGTTAATTAAGCATGGATAGGTAAATTACCTATGGAGGAGGTATACATATGAATGTTGATTACCTATGGAGGAGATATATGATATGAAATTACCTATGAAGAGGTATACATAAACCTACAAAGGTATTCACTGGTTGAAAGCGTTTGATAAATTGAGATTAATTGTAGAAGTGTGATATTAATTTATTGATTGCAGTCATTAATAAAATTTAGAGGATTGACTGTGCAATGGCAATATGTGTAAATGTTTTAAAAACAGTGGTCAAGGCTTTACATACTTGGCTGGCCTGTTGAATCGCTGGACCCAATTCTACGTCAAATGAGAGGTGGACTGTTTTCATAGTGCAAACTCAAAATCGGACCTATATTGAAAGACCCCAAGGAAAATGTCTTGACTTGCAGATTAGCTAGTAGTCTTAAGTTCGAACCCTTATAGTACCTGACAGTGTGTACAAGAAAATCCTCATCCTTCAATATCGCTTGTATTAAAAATAAAAAAAATTGGAATTTGTTCAAGTTTCAACCTCCACCGACTGCTGCGACAAATGGACACACATTGAACTTGAAAGATCACTTCCATAATGGAAAGCAGTCCTTTAATCTTGAAAAGAAAAAAACACACAATTGAAATTGGTCGATCGAGTTTGAATTGTTGGACTTGATATTGGTTTCCGAAATATATATTGTGGAACATATATACATCTTTTATCAAAGCTCCAACTCCCTTGCAAAGGGAAATTTCTCTAGAATTAGTTTTAATTCTTAAAATGTGTAGAGATAGAATTTTTGAATTCCCTGGCCTTGCTGCGTTGTTTTAACCAAAGGATCTGGTTTATGGTCCATGCATGACGTGAACAGCTCTCCTTTGGTATATATTATTGCTTTGCAGATATCTCATTTGCAGTTTTTAAGTACTCAAATATATTCCTTGGACCACTCTTAGGATAAAAGCATTCTTGATACTAGGGATGGAGCATCATCCACCATATATCCATTTCTCTCTCTCTCTCTCTCTCTCTCTCTCTCTCCCCCATTAGCCAATTAAGAACAAGGAAAGTAAATAATTACTTGCAGCTGGGGCAATGGTGCTTAAATTCTCCAAGACACAGAAAGAGATGATAAATTAGATTTAATACTACCAGAAAACTACATGCCTATATAGTTCATATCATAAGAAAGCTCACAAAATGACAAATCATTTAGCTTTGTTAAAGTACTACTTCATCAAGTCTTCATCAGACACAATTCAAATTAAGCTCCTTAGAAAAATAAAAGATAGAAACTGGAAATGAAGGAGTGGGGAAGGAAAAGGGAATTGAAAGAGGAAAAAAAATATAGGAGGGTGGTCATCCGGCCTACTAAAGGAGTTGCTAGCTCAAGCCATCATAAGGGAATCATGTTCTTCTCTCAGTTCCTTCAGCAAAGTACAGCAGTACCTGAATATCATCAACATTTATATATTAGTTTACAAACCAAAAAAGAAAAAAGAAAATAATTTAATTAAGTAACTATATATTTTTATATATCTTATCTACATACTCACTGAAAATGATGAAAATTTACGAGTTAATATGGAGACTTGCCACCATTGTTGTCCCTTGGAGCATTGCATCTGAAACATTCCATCCTGCTAGCGAAGTTGTGCTCATTGCACCCTGACCTGTCCAATTAATTCAACTATTACATGTTTAATGCATATAGGTGCATGTGCTCATATATGTAAAAAAATTGTGAGCAATGTTTTGTATAGGTGTTGTATATTGTGTTATATGAGAGATATGATCAGTAATGTGATATGATTTATAAAGTAACCTTGTGCAAATCCAATCTCCAGATTTCCATCCAGAGCGACCAGAGCTACTTCCACCGCTCCCAAATCCAAACCCTCTACCCTCATAGCCACCACCGCCGCCACTGGACGATTCATCCTTGGACGCACCACACTTGAAGCAGCTGGAACGGCTGGCAAAGTTATGCGCTGCACAATTGCTAATGGTGCAGTACCAGTCACCCGGGCGGACATCCGGACCAGTGGTGAATCCGAAAGAACCACCACCTCCACCTCTTCCACCAAAACTTCCATACTCAACTCTCTCCCCACTTTTTGGCTCCCCGCACCTCTGGCACGAGTCCCTCCTTTGGAAGTTGAGATGGTTGCATGACCTACAGTTCCAATCTCCTGGCCTGCTCATGTTTCTTAATTTGAGCTCTTCTAGATTTCAGAGAATATATATTACCCCAAAAAAAAAAAAACAACATATTAGTTAGTTAAAATGCATCATTTAACAAACTTCAAGTTCATTATGGAAAAATAAGCTACAAAAGCTCAAGAGTGAAGTTGAAAAGGCCTCACCTTGAGAAAGCAGAGTTGAATAGAAATGCCTGAAATTTTAAGATTAGTGGTGGAGGAATTTGGTGATTAAAGTGATGGGGTTGGGGAGGTTTTTATACTTGCTTAAGGGCCTCGAGAAACGAGTGGTGGATTGTACCCAGTAGAGATTTAGGGTGTGTGGTTTTTCTTTTTTGATATTCTCTTCATCACTTTGCTTCCTTGAACAATGGAATGTATATCACAAAAAAGAAAACCAAAATGGGAAAAAGAGATAAAGAAATATTGAAATGGGATTCTAAAGATACTAAAGAAAGAAAGAATTTGATGATAAAGCTTTAACTAGTGTACTTTAGGGTTTCCAGAGGTTGCAAATGCATGAACATATCCATAAATTAATTTAGTTCCATAAATGCCCTTCTTTTTATCTATCCACCATGTACTCCCATGGCTAGAAATGGCTAGTTAGTTTGAATTTAATTAGCACTAAAGGCTTGTTAAAAAAATGAGAAATTATTTTTTTCTAACCAGATTGTGCAATCAAATTTTTCGTTTATATATATGTTCATGCCATCTAAATTTACAGTTTGACAATATAGGTTTGTAAGCATATATTCTGGGACGGTCCCATGGGTTGCCTAACCTGGAATATATAGCCGAGATGAGTTAATTTGTTTTCCTTTTTGTCCCTATAGTTTGTATGTAGGTTTAAGGTTTAGTTTGTATGTAAATCTACCTCACCTCATTTTAAAATTTTGGGTCCGTCTTTACATATATTACCCTAAAATATATAAAAGTAGAGAAAATGTGGCATGCTTTAAATTGAGTTGGCAATGCTACACCTTGGTTAAATGTGTTATTGTATGGAACATTTTTTTTTACATAATTAAGACGCAAGTTTCTGAGAAAATTAAGATGACCTTCATAATTTTCAGGCAATTTGGTTGGTGTGGGAGAGTCAAATTCCAGCCTTTTAAGATATTGTTTCCATCTAGCTCAATCATTCAGAAGAGATAGATACATATTACAGCAAATGATAGGGATGTTTTTTTGGTCGAAAATGATAGGGGATGTAATCACAATTCAAAGTTAAAAAGTATTGTTCCTTAATACAATGCGCAATTTGAAAAGCAACAAGGAAAACCATGTTGATTTGACTTTGTTAATTTATTCGTACAACAACTATCTATAATGTTCATGTCCCCACAAAAAGAAAAATAGCATGCATTGTAACCTCTAAACACAGCATATAGCCATGCACCCCAATGTCTTTTAATTATGCTAATCTATGAACCTCATGAAATTCTTTTGACCATTTGCATATATTTAGGAGTCACCTTCCTTCTTGTTGGCTTTCTTGTTGAGTCAGGACTGGATAAGCAGGAACAAAATTCACTGTTTTCCTGCCAGACAAAATGAATATTCTTCACACATCAAAAAACCCTTAGGAGTGGTCAAGCCTGCTTTCTGTAATTTTATAACCCCACATCCTAAGGGTGTTACTATACAAGGAAAAATGGTGGTTGCTTTTCAATTTTTCTTGAATATTCTTTCTTTGTACTTGGAACTACAAAAATTTCCTCCAAGTCAAAAGGGTTTTTAGGGTTACCACGGTTTCTCTCCCCCAGCCCAGAAAAAAATTAAAACACAAAAGCAAGTAATCCATCGTTTGGTCACTTAGGGCCTTATACGATGATAAGAACTGTAGCAAACTGCGGAACACAGGATGTTGTAATTTGAGTGGATTCAATGTATACTATCTCAGCATGTTAAAAGCAAAACATCGAATAGACTGCAGCTAATCTTACATAAAAATATAGTCACACTCGTGCATGTCAGCTGGTTTGCTAATTTAGAGAAGATATGTTACCGTTGCCCAAGACATAGGCACATAGCTGAAGCCAAACACAAGCTGTTGCATGGCTAAAGATGTTCAAAGAACGTCCACATTAATTATATTCTGTGACCAAATTTTAATAATTGAGTTCAGAAACATGGATTGGAGTGGAGGCTCAAAATCAAAGAAAGAAAGGGGAAATTAATTGGTAGAGTTTCGATAAAGATAGTCGAAGCTGATGATGATGGAAGAGGAGTCTTCGAGGTTCAAATTTTGACCATCTTTTTAATCTTTTTCTTTTTCTCACTAGTTGTGTACTGCAATTCATGCCTTTTTCACTGTCGTTTTTACTTTCCCCCCCGTCCCCCACCTTACTCGTCCTCACAAATCTTCATTTTGAATCTTTGAATAATTAAGTGAAATAACAGAAAAGAAAATCGAATTATTATTATTTCAAGATTATTCACCACTCACCATGCCATTTTTTTTTCTTGGGGAATGGTAAAGAAGGCTGTAGCAAACTGTGAAAAAGCAAAAACAAAGGAGGGGACTGATTCGATTCTCTCATCGGGAAATGCTTCCATGCATGACCATGACCAAGCGCAATACATTCCACCCAACGTATATATATGATCTTTTAGCTTTCTCTTTTTAAATACAATGTAAAACAATTCTGATTAGAGGCCATTTGAAGATGTTTGTGAACAAATCTTAATGCAAATTCAGTTTGTTTGCATTATCCACTTTCCCTTATATACCATTGGACAAAGTGATGGAACCTTGTACCTTTTGACCAATTTCAAATTTTACAGGCAAGTTCTTGATTTGATTCTGAAAATAAAATAAGAAAACTTTAACAAATTATATGCTATTGTTGAGAGTGCGAATCCTAAATTAAAGATTTTGAACCTCTTCATTCATTATCAATTAATTTTGAGTTAGATACTCGCATTTTAACGATATCAATGCATGATATTCACGTAATCCATCTATAATAATGCTTAGAATTATTTTCCTTTTTCCCAAAAAAAAAAGGAGCAGATTTAGTAAAGGAATGTGATTATCCAAACATAAAAATCGAGAATACTACAAAATATATATTTTATGTTTCTACGTAATGCGTGTTTGGTTGCATGCACGTGAGATGAGTGTGATGTCATCACACAATGATAAAAGTTACCTCTTTTCTTTTACTTTTTTAGTCCTCCAATATCTTTTACATTATGCTCTGAGAGACTACCCTAAAATGTCCACCTCTTTGATCTTTTTTAGCACGGTTTTCCACCCTTAACCCATCTCCAAATATCTTTCATCTTTACTACAGAAACGTTGCCCTTTCCGCTTTACAAAACAACACAAAATTCCTCAATTTCTTTTAATCCAAAATCTCCTCTTCTTTTGCCCTCTTCTTTTCCACCAAGATGACTGTAATTTGGGATTAACTTGGAATAATTTTGTAAGGGGTTTGTAGTTATGATAGTTAAAAACAGTTACTCATGCACCCGAAATTATGTGTTCCAATCCCCCCTCACTCAGTAGTATCGCTTATGTCAAAAGGATAAAATGCAATAACTTCTTTGTTTGTGATGTTATCATTGAGAATAGAGAGTATGACTAATTTCTGACCACCCGAAATAAAAAAAGAGACTAATTCTGTATCCAAGAAATATGGGACTATTCTTTACCAAAATAAGAAGGGAACTATTTTTGAGTGGACTTGGATAGACCCATTTCAAAATTGATGTCGGTGCCAACCCATGATTGATTAATTTGGGCTCAATTCTTTTTTGGGTGCTAGCAGGCCCATGATTGTAAGAGACACTTGGGTATAATAAATAAAAAATAAATGTGGAATTTCTTTTGATGCAAATGCAATAGCCAAAAAAACTCTAAATTCTAGCTTGCTAGTAATTACTACCTGCCATCTACATCTGAAATCGTTATGTCATTTCTCGATCGATGTCTTTGCCTACTTGAAGATGAATCTGCATCAGTGGAACTTAATTGACTCAAAAATGCAGGTTCTTTTGGAAGAGGCAGAGCAATTGTTTCATTGCTTAGCATCGAAACAACATCTGACATGTTTGGTCGATCCATGGCTCTTTCTTGCACGCACAAAAGACCCATCTGAATGCACCTCGTAACTTCACTGCTTGAACATGAGGCACTCAATGTTGAATCCATCGACTCCATGCTCTTGCCTTCTTTCCAAAAATTCCAAGTCTAAAACAATCAAGTTTCACAAATCTTAGCAACAATTAGTATATGCAAACGTATAAAAAGTGATTAGGTGTAGTTTGTGAGGGGTTTGTTAAAGGTGCTTACTCTGCCTAGTAAGTTAAGAGAATGATCAGTTTCAAAGAAGGCTATGTTCTTCTTTCCACTTATGATCTCTAATAAGATCACCCCAAAGCTGAACACATCTGATTTTTCAGAAAAGAGGCCGTCCATCGCATACTCCGGAGACATATAACCACTAACAATTAGAGTATAAAATGCATTAGACAATTTTGTACCAAAAGAAGAAAAAAAAAAAACTAGGCAGCATGTAATTTACTTACAATGTACCAACAACTCGGTTTGTTTTTCCTCTAGTGTCATCATCCCCAAAAATCCTTGCCATGCCAAAATCTGAAATTTTCGGGTTCATGTCACCGTCCAACAGAATATTGCTTGTCTTTAAATCACGGTGAATGATCCGTAATCTCGAGTATCTGTGAAGATAAAGAAGCCCTTGAGCAATCCCTTCAATAATGTGAAAGCGCCTTCTCCAATCCAAAAGTGCCTTTTTGGATGAATCTACACCCAAGCCAATTCATCTCAAAATGTGAACGAAGATATAATGAAAATTGAAACATGCATAGAACTATAGATCATGGACCAACCAAAAATAAAGGAATCCAGGCTTCTGTTGGGCATGTACTCATAAATTAGTATACTTTCTTCTTCTTCAATGCAGCATCCCAAAAGCCTAACCAAATTCCTGTGTTGGAGCTTACAGATTACTGAAACTTCATTTTTGAACTCATTCAAGCCTTGCCTGGAAATTTTGGACAGCCTTTTCACTGCAACTTCCTGATCTTCTAGAGGCAACTTACCCTGCATTTTCCATTATGTAAACATGTAGAAGTTTTGCTAAGAAAAAAAAACACACAAATAAAATTAACTGATGGCTTGCCTTATAGACAGGCCCATATCCACCTTCCCCAAGTTTATTAGCCTCTGCAAAGTAATTTGTTGCATTCTTTATTGTGGAAAAACTAAAAAATGGCAAATCTTGATCCTTCTGTCTTCCCAGTTCTATGTTACTTGCACCTCTAACTTCATCATGATGAATTGGTGACGCATTAGGGGAGCTCATTTGAAATAATCTCATATGATCAGAATCCGCGACGGCATCTCCTCTGCTTGCTAATTGATCTTCTGCTAAAATTACATTGACATAAACGTCATTTAAGCCTGTTTAATTTCCCTTAGCAATGAACTCAATCTTATGACAATCAAACTCAAACCTTTACGTCGCCTTCTCCCACGCAGATAATAGGATAAGGAGATTGCAATAAGAACCAAGAGGAATGCCAAAGGAAGCAAGACAGCCAGCCAGAGTTTCCACTTCTTGCTATCTTGAGAATGAACACAATGCCACCATTTTGTTTATGAAAATAATACAATTTCTTGTACTCAACAAAATTATGTTTAACGAAAATTGCCTAATTTTTTACCAACAATCCATGAGAAAAGCATGCTATGTTCTTGCATTGTGAATTTGAATAACATAATCAACTATTAGCACCTGTTTTTATAATATTTGAAATGCCATTCTAGATGAACTGGTAAGCTGTTAAATCATTTCAGATTTTTTGAGATTATATGTATAGATAGCGGTCCCACTCCCACATAAAGACAAACGAGTAAACCAAAGAATTCCAAGGCACCTAACACCTTCACATAATAAACAACATAATTATTGACTAAAGTATGCACCAGGAAAAGAATTTATATTAATTGATTGTTTCAAAGGATCCCATCACACGGAAAAACGTCGTAATTTATTCGTTTTTATATATATAGTAAACAACCGTAATTCATGTAGTAAGTTATCTTCTTAATTTATCCTTATGGCGAACTAGGAGTCAAGACTTGATAATATAAATAGCAAATTTAAAATAATAATAATAATATACTTTAAAAATTTCTTTTGTCTCATTATGTGATGTATGGTTGAGTAGATTATTATTTGAATGTACTGTTAGATTCATAATTCGACAACATAACATGTTACACTGTCATTAAAAAAATTATTACATATAGGATACAGTTCTTCTCCTATGCGGTGAGTTGTACTTTTGAAATCCCTTTGAGTTGACGATTGAAAGAAGTTTATTAGAATAATTTTTTTTTGGATGTTTGGTCTTAATTCACTATTATAAGTATCTTATGTTGCCAGAAGGTCGAAAAAGAACATTACTCTATATTGTATAATACAAGTAGTTGAATTCAAACTTACCACTTGGAGCACTACCCCGGATGTAAACAATCCCTGCCCCCTTCTCTATGATCTTCAACAGATCATGTTTGCTCCCAAAATAGAGTTGACATCCTGGCGGTTGTTCATTCTGAAGTGCAGCGAACGCAGTGCAAGAACAATTGGACTTGCACAAAGTTTCACACTCGGTAGTCCCCGTAGAAATGAAACCAGTACCACTGAAAGTAGATGGCAAAGAACCATTCATCTCATAAAACTTACCATCCCCACACTCGAACGGTATTGAAGTCAAGCACCTACCAGAATTACCACCAGCCGAATCAGCACACAAAGCATGAGGCCTAACAGAAATCTTCCCATCCACCATGAAATACTGGTCCAGGTTTCCGGTGGAAGCCATCACGAACCACATGAGGTCGTAGTTCCTACTGTGGCTAAAATTGTAGTAGGCCTCATATGCATTAGCATGGTAGCTAAAATTGTAGTCATTGTTATTATTGTTCTGCCCGGTTGAGTTGTCAAAAATAAACCGGATGCTATGTCCGTCCCAGGAAGCTATGTCCATTTTGGCTCCATCTCCTCGCCAAACCGAAAGCTTCGACAAGTCGTTGCCATCAACGGATAAGGTGAAGAGGCCTCGAGCTGGGTTTTGGGGGCTTGCCCAAGAAACAATAAGGTGAAAGCTGTGGCGGGTTGTGTTTAGGCCATACAACCCAAGTTTCATCCCAGGAAGATATGTATCACTTGGAAGATCAAAACTTTGCCATATAATAGTACCTGTATGGTCCAAAAGAATTAACATACCATCGCTTTTCAAGGGTCTGAAAGTACAGAAGTATAAATTTTAATGTAACTAAAACTATCAGAATTTGAAGATATTTTTTGAAATTTCAGACCATGCCTGTATCAACTTCTTTAAGGACAAAATTTCCAGTGTCAAGAAGTGTTGCGCTTGTATTAGTAGTGGCCGCGGCGACACTTCCTGAATTGACTATCAACTGGACTTGTCGCCGGTCGGTGAGAACCAAATTCCCTGTCCGGATTTGAAGGAGGCCGGATGAATCCAATATTGGATTTTCCCGGTCAACCCAGACAACCTTGCTTCGATCGGCTGTGAACCAAATTCCCAGATAGTGATAACCGGAAAAGTTTTCGCTGAAGAAGCCAAGCTCGAAAAGTCCACCGGATGAGAGCAGGGTTTGATTGTCTCCCAACGTGTCCAAAGATGTGAGTGTGTCCGTTGCAGGATATGAAAATGAAAAGAAGGTAAAGAATGATATCAAGCAAAAAAGAGAGAGGTTAAGCATTGTCATTATAGAGTTAGAGAATTGGTACAAAGACAATGAATTTATTAAAACTTAGAGGTCTAGATGGAGACACAGCTAGGAGCTAGCTAGCTAGCTTTTTATTTTCTAATTAAGTATATATAATATGTTTTCCTGTATTCTCATTGATGCAGGTTCATTATAGTCAACTATTTCTTAGTTCTCAAGCCAGATATATATTTGATGATCTTCCATTTCCTTGTCATCATATAATATATATATATATATATATATATATATCCGTTGAAAGTTTGAAAGATATATAATGTGAACTCCTGGAGAGTTCTAGGAATAAATCATCAATTCGAAAAATGGATGAGAAGCCAGATGCTTTGAGAGTCCCCTAAGCCTTGGTGGGAAGTCGAGATTGGGGACATGACTATTTCAATTAAAATAGATAACAATTTAATCAATAAACTAGTTAAGTTTAGGTAAGACTTGTTCATTCGAGTGCAGTCCCCATCCTATCCAATCCAAAATAACAATCATCTTTGCATATGAAGCATGAAGCACTTCATTATGTACTTGGTCCTGTTCAGACAAGGCTTGGTCATTAACAACTTTGTTGCCTGGGAAAATCTATTTTGCTACCTTCCATCTACTTCTGAAATCGTTATATCATATCCAGAGTGACGTCTTTGCCTACTTGAAGATGATTCTGCATCACTGGATCGACTCAAAAATGCAGGTTCTTTAGGAAGAGGCAGAGCAATTGTTTCATTGCTTAGCGTTGAAACAACATCCGACATGGTTGGTCGGTCCATAGCTCTTTCTTGCACACACAAAAGACCCATCTGAATGCATCTGGTGACTTCAGTGCTTGAAAAATAATTCCTCAATGTTGGATCCATCAACTCCATGGTCTTGCCTTTTTTCCACAAATCCCAAGCCTACAACAATGAATTCAAAACACTGTAGCAACAAATATACAAACACATACAAAATCTGATTGGATATACTTGAGTGGTTTGTTAAAGGTGCTTACTTTGCCTAGCAAGTTTAGAGATTGATCAGCCTCAAAGAGGGATATACTCTTCTTGCCACTTACGATCTCTAGTATAATCACCCCAAAGCTGAACACATCTGATTTTTCAGAAAAAAGACCATCCATGGCGTACTCCGGAGACATATAACCGCTGACCATCATTGGCGAAAATGTGTTAATTAGACATCTTCTGTACCAAAAAAGTATGACATTGAAGAAAAGATGACCAAATATGAGCATGTAAATTTTCCTGAAGTACATGCTGCAGAAAGTTTTCTTACAATGTACCAACAACCCGATTTGTTTGTCCCCTAGTGTCATTATCCTCAAAAATTCGTGCCATGCCAAAATCTGATATTTTTGGGTTCATGTCACAGTCCAACAGAATATTACTGGTCTTTAAATCTCGGTGAATGATCCTTAATCTTGAGTATTTATGAAGATACAGAAGACCTTGAGCAATCCCTTCGATAATGTTCATGCGCTTTTGTGAAACCCCATATTTTGAAATACATATATTAATATTTCATAAAATTAAATATTTACAATTATTAGTCTTCAAAACTATATAATATATCTATAAATATAAATTGTATGGCAAGTTACGTGAAGTTAACTAGTATAGCCTATCAAATGTTATTGCATGGCTTTAATTATTTCAATTCATTTCAGCATTATTTATTTATTATTATTATATATAGATATATATATACTTTACAAAAAAACTGTTAGAAAGACATTTATGCTTACTAAGCATTGTTGAAGACTGACGTGTTGCAATGTAGTGTCCTCAAAACAAATTAAAGCATGAGGTGTAAGAATGATGGTTATTCCAATATATATAAACTTGATAGGAGAGTGCTCACTAAGCACTCTACAAAGCCAACACAAAAGGCTATTTGAGAGTCTAGGAACCTATAGACTAATTAGGTGGCACAACATTAAGCTTCATCTAACCGACTCTAGCTTACTATAAATAGGTCTACTCAATAGTTCTTTGATCATAGGTACTTCAAGTGTGTTAGTCTCCTAAAAAGCTTAGACAGAATAAAGAAAGAGTGAAGTGTGGTGAGATTTTGGAAAAAGCTCAACTGGGAAGTGTACAATAAGCTTTGGATTTGAGGTAGGGGTTTTTCTTGGGGACGTTTTGTTTTGCATACATTGAGTTATTTAAATATTGTAAATACTACATTAGGCTTGATAATATTTGATTGTTGTTATGCTTGGTTATATTGTTTGATTGTTATCCTTGATATTAGATGTATACATGTTGTCAATTATCATTATAATTTGATGAATTTTGACATATTCATATGTTGTCGGTGGTGGTTGGAATTTTTGGGTTGATAAAGAAATTATGGAAAAGAGGATAATGGGAAGTATCTTTTGTGTAGTTGAGTCTAACCATTGTAGGGACCAAGTTCAGGCGAGCCCGTGTGCACAGTAGATT